AAGGGCTGGGCGAGGGCGGCCTTGCCCATGGCCGGCGAGGGGCGGCCGACCTCGCCGGCGACAGGCGAGGCTAGCCCAGGCGAGGGCTGCCCTCGCCTGGGCGGGCGATGGTCGCCTCGCCCGGGCGGGCGAGGGTCGCCCTCGCCGGATTCGGCTAGGGTGACCCTCGCCGGCGTGCCGGCGAGGGTCGCCCACGCCCGACTCAGCGAGGGCGACCTCGCCCGCCCAGCGAGGGCTTCCTCGCCGACGCGGCGAGGGTCGCCCTCGTCGGATCTGGGCGAGGCGACCCTCGCCGGCGTCGGCGAGGGTCGCCCACGCCCGACTCGAGCAAGGGCGACCTCGCCCGCCCTGGGCGAGGGCCGCCCTCTCGCCCGAGTCGGGTGTGGGCGACCCTCGCCCGGCTGCCGAGGGTCGCCCTCGCCGAATCCGGCGAGGGCGACCCTTGCCGGCGTCGGGCGAGGAAGCCCTCGCCCGGGCCGACGAGGGTCGCCCTCACCCGAGTCGGGCGTGGGCGACCCTCACCCGCCTGTGCGAGGGCTTCCTTCGCCCGACGTCGGCGAGGGTCGCCCTCGCCGGATCCCGCGAGGGCGACCCTCGCCGGCGTCGGGCGAGGGGCTGGCCTCGCCTGGGCCGGCGAGGGTCGGCCGCCCCTCGCCGGCCATGGGCAAGGCCGCCCTCGCCCAGCCCTTCCCGGGCTTCGCCGACCGGCCGGCGAGGGGAGAAAAGAAAAAAAAGAAAAGAAAAGAAAAGAAAAAGGAAAGAAGAAAAAAAAAAGGAAAAAAAAATATTTAAAATTAAAAATGCTAACTGTACACGCTAAAAAAATTATTTAAAATTAAAAATGCTGACTGTACACGCTGACTCAGCCTCCGGCGAGCCACGTCGGCGTAAAAAATTAATAAAAAATGCCACGTCGGATTTCCGGCCAAATTGGCACTAAAGTGATCTCTTTTGCTCCGACTTGGCACCAAAGTGATCCGAAAAAAAGTTATGGCACCAAAGTGATCGCCGTACACAAGTTATGGCACTTATGGTGTACTTTTGCCATTTTTTTCCGATGTAGAACTTCGTGTAGATAATCTCACTGGTAGATAATAGATGATCGTGGATTTAGTGTAATTTCTTGTAACCGCTATTAATTGTAGATAGGTTTAAGAAGTTATCTATTTATTCAAATTCAATAACCGCTTGTATATAAACACCATAGTGGGCTATAAATACCCATATTGTAACTTTTATAAGGAACTACAACGTTCTTCTGAAAATTTATCTTTTATTACTACTTCTCGTAATCGTTGGCTACTGTTATTCCTAGTGTTTGTATTTTAAATTTTCTTGTCATTTACGATACAAAATCAACAAATGACCCTTCAAGGCCTTTGTCGATTTATATACATCCATCCATATTCTAAAAAGTGTTGTCATCTTTTTTAGTGAATCACATTCCTAATTTAAAGAAAATGAGGGAAAAAAAAAAACAGACGCGAGCGGAAGAAATGTTTTCAAACTCTGTATAGCCAAGATTTGGGTGTCTTCTAAAAGAGGGAATAAGAGGAATAGGATGGACCATGGAAAGTGCTTGCAGGGGTGTCAACAGTTCAGATATCATGGATATCTGGATCGAGCCAAATCCAAAGGACAAAAGCAAATTGCGACCCGAACCAACCCGAGAACTGCATATAACCCGAACCGATAATCCGTTTGGTTCATTTTGGTTTTTCGGGTTTTCGGTTTTTTTTTGGAAATGTGAGAAAAAAGAAAAGATAAAACATAAACCTTACAATAACTGGATTCCAAGATAAGAACTCAAGTAATGCCAGAGGGAGAGCTTCTTGTTCGTCTTCTTCTTCTTCTTTGTTTAGGGGTTTGTTTCGGAGTTTAGCTTAGGATTCGAGTTAGGGTTTTTGCCATGGAATCTCCAGAGGTTATTGCGAAGACCGCCAAAGCCGAGTTTGGTTTCAATCGAGTGTTATTTGGCATTGTTGGGAGCCCAAGTCTGAGCCCGTTAATATGTCCAGTTGGATCCACTTTTACTCAAAAGTTTAAGTCAATAAGTTATGAGCCAATTAGGATATATTAACAACTTCACACCATATTAATTCTCCAATGTGGGACTTTCGAACACAATCCATACGTCCAACTCAACACGCAGTTCGATTTTGAATACTTGTTGCTCTCTGTCTTCCGAGAGCTGAGTTCAGCATTAATGTGAACTTGAGTTATATTGCCAGACTATGGTTTGAAATAGGATGCCAAAGTTTTTGGTGGATCAATCCCTTGAGTTTTATTTTTGTGTTTGTTTATTTAGTTGTTGTATTCACGTTTTAGTGATTCAAGCGGATGTGCGAAATCATGTGTTGAACTGTCAATCATTGGTGGAATGATTTATTATCATTCTGTTGATGCAAAGGTTTCTCACACGATGTCTTTGAAGCCCCTCCTTTATACTAAGCTTTGCCCTTTTTTTATTTGCCATGTCTTTCTTAGTAAAGTGTTTAGTGATTATTAAACGAATCGAGGCATGAACTTTTCTATCTGCTACCCGAACTGAAAAGACCCGAATTTTTCAGTTTAGATCGGATCAGGTCAATACGGCGGCTCCACCCATCTATAATGAAATTGATAATGATGTGATTGTTGATATATGGGGTCCTGACTCACATGCCAATGATCTTGAATTGGGATATCTTCAAAAGGGATTCTTGTTAGGATAAGGACGAGCTGAACTGGATCTACTCCAGAGATGGTAACTTTTGCATGGATTCTGCGTATAAAGTGGCTTCCGGAGCCAGCGCTGTCGCTACCGCAGGCAACTCTACCCCTCTGCCCGAAGATTCGCACGTCTTTATGGCAACTTCTTCTGGGGGAGATCGCTAGATGTACTAATCGTTTTCTCAACTATTACAAATATATTTTGGCATTTCATTCGGCACCAATTTCTCCGGGCATAAAAGGGAAGTCTAAAATTAAGTGTTGGCTCCATAGACTAGTGCAGAGATAGATAATAGTGCAGTAACAACGTGTCAGAGAAAATTACGATATTTTCCATATAGACAATTAGGATATTTCTCTTAATCTTCCATATCTGTCATAGGTGCTCTTTGTCTCCCTTTGATTGTGCAATTGGGATCAAGTACTCTTCATTATGAGATGAACAAAAATATACTGAAATAACACAATTTATCTATTTCGCATAATTCTTATCTTGATATGAGACCTAGGCGATCTTGAGGAATTTTTTAGTGCAATGGGTGCGATGTGAACCGGGTCACTCCGAGTGCACACTTTGCACCATGTCATTCTCGACCAAGATAAGAAATATATAGAATAGATAATTGTGTAAGTTATGCAAATTTTTCTGTGTCTCACAATGACAAGTACATGAGAATGGGCTTTATCAAATGACAAAGATAATCAATTAAGATCAATCAAAAGTATGCACAGTTAAAGGGGAATATGGAAAATCTCCTATATATATATATATATATATATATATATATATATATATGTGTGTGTGTGTGTGTGTGTGTGTGTGCGCGCGCGCGAGCGAGCGCGCGCGCAAACATGAGATATATGGAGAATTGTGAGAAACGTCCTAATTATCCCAAGGGAAATATACTAATTATCTCTATCTGGAATTTAGAGAAAAGATCCAATAAAAAAAATGACACAAGATGCAAATGTGCTCCAGGTGTGCACAGGGTGCATATCGCAATTGGTGCACTCAAAATTTCCTCAGCATCACTTAGCTATAAGAATCATGTGAAACAGAAAATTGTGTAACTTCTAAATATTTTTGTGTAACATATAATCACTAAATCCATTAGGATCAACTAAGTATATACACAATCAAAAGGAGATATGGAAAATTTCTTAGATTATATGCATTATCATAAAAGAAAATAAAATTAAGGGAAATATCATAATTATCTCTAAGTGAAATACACTCAAAATTTTAATTACAATCCTGTTTTAGGCATGTATATACACCCAAATTTTTTATTAATAGAGACTTGATAGAGTACATATATCTTTCCCTAAAGAAAGCCATCATTGACTTTTGAGTTGGATTAGGCCTATACCTCATTTCAAGTTTACAATAAATAGGCTCAACTCACTCATAATAAAAATAAATGATTACCATCGACAATGACCAGTGACCCACAGCACGGTGCGGTATCAAATAATATTCTAAGAAGGGGCAGAGGCAAAGTTGGGGAAATAGGAGAGAGTGCATGAAATTCCAAATCTCACGTCAATTGAGAAAGACCTTATTAAGTGATTCATAAGTCAATGCACACCTCCAAATGGTCATCATCTTATGTGGTTATTCAGAGTATTCATTTTTTGGTGCTTGGCCTCTGTTGTTGCATAGATGGTATCGGAGGAGACTCTCTTTAGTAAATGTTTGGTTAATGAATGGACTAGAACCATACCCGATTAGACAAGGATGGGGAGCGAGTGCCGGGGTGAGAGTGCTCGAACAAAGTTCGCCTCTTGTTAGGCTTCTAACGAGCCAACACTAACCAAATAATCATCCCAAGCCCCACATCAATTGAGAAAGGCCCCCTAAATGGTTATCATTTTATGTAGTTTATTTGAAAGATTTCTTTTAAAGGTTTGGCCCATATGCAATGAGTTAGGTCATTTCTGAAAAATTGAAAGAGAAGTAGGATTTTGGATTGACATTGAGAATGGTGATATTTTAGTAGATGTACATAATGCAATGCATTTATCTCTAATCGAAGAGGATCCAAATCCGCTTCTTTCATGTGGCGAGGCTTGTTTCTCCTTTGCTTTCCTTATCCAGTGCTCCAAAAATTGTCTCTCACTTTGCTTGTGGCCTGTTAGTGAGTCGACTAGGAGAAAAGAAAAGGAAAATCATCAATGCATTGCCGAAAGGGGGATTTACTTTGATTAGAAGCTAAAAAAGGGTTTTATTTCGTTTCATTTACATCTATGAGAAGCACTACACAGTAGTGAATATCCAAAGAAGAATATTGAGAGAGTAAGGCTTGCATACATAATGTCGAAAAAGGTATGAACTATCCATAATATTGTCCACCGTATATAATAAGAAGTGACACAACTCGTGATCGTAACAAATAACCGATACACACAAACTCATAAAACTTCTCTATTTCACCTTCTTGACATTCATTTTGAATATTTAAAACTGCCCATGTCAAATCAACCCCATCACAACCTAATCAAATCATCTCACAAGCCCCAAATTGAGAATCCCCCAGGAAGTGTTAAGCCAAGACCTCTCTCTGGCCTTCATGAGCAAAACCCTGGCCCATGCCACCCACCCTTCCCAGGACATCCTCTTGTCCCAGGGACTCCCCCACTCCAGCAGCAGCCTCAGCCCGGCCTCTACCTCGGCCTCGGCCTCCTCGTACTGCCCTTTTCCCAGATATAGCTGCCCCAGCACCACCCGAGGCTCCCCAACAAACGGGTTCTTCTCGATGCCTTCCCTCAGCCTCCATTCCACCGCTTCGTAATGCTCAGCTCCTCCAAACTTGCTGACGCTGCAAACCGCTTCCCAGTACTTGTCCCTTGCCTCAATCTGGTCCCTCGCGTCGAGGACCCGCGTGCAGGACTCGAACACCGGTGGCACCACGAGCTCGATGTTCTCATCTCGCTCTTTTGAGGGCGGCTTGGACTTGGCATTGCTTTTGCTCTTCTTTTCGAGCGTGAAGATCTCTTCCTCTCTTGCTATGAGCATGTAGACCGCGCCCATCCTTGATATCGAGTTCATCCAGAGCCCGGGTTTCCCGTCCCCAGGCCACAATGCCCAGAAATTATTCCCGGTAAACTCCATCCGCCCATCGCTATTCTCGAACAGCATATCCTGAAAAGTAAATTGTTTCAATTTCTCAACGCAACTAGACTCGAACGAGTTACAAATTTATAGAGAGAAACTCAAATATGACAGTTGAGAAAATTTCAATTAAGGGCATCAAGGTTCCTTCAATTTTTCAAATAAGGGCTTGCGGTGGATCTTGTCTCAAATGAGGGTCTGAAGTGTTATTTTTTTCTTAAATAAGGCATTTTTTTCAAATAAGGGTCTAAAATAACTATAAAAATTTCAAATAAGAGCCTAATCTCGCCAACCAGCTAAATATTCCGGCCAATCAAGGGCATTTTCGTCCAATGATAATTTTAACATAAATTTTAGTTAAATTAGATTAAAAATAAAAAAAAGATAAAAGTTTTTTTAAAAAAGAAAAAATACATTTGGGATGGTTGGTTGGGCAAGCCCTCTCACTTGTGGTTGCCACCCCATCACCGGTGGGGTGGCGGCGCTGGTCAGTAGGCCTTCACCTCTGGTCGGCGAGGGTCGCCGGCTTACCGAGGCGCCGACGCCAACAACCACGTTAGTAGGGGTGAGCGATTTTAGGTTTCATACAAGTTATACATGAAACCTGGAACCTACATGTTAAAACAGGTTTCTCATTTTTTTGGAACATGGAACCTACCTTGTCACAGGTTCTAGGGTCTACCCTTGTTCTACTTGTATTATTAATTGAACGATTGCAGTGAATCATCACCTTTAATTATTACCATTCGCTACTACAATCCATTGACCACAACTTTTATTTAGACAAACGAAGGATATGAATAATTTAGAAAGTAAAAATCTCAGCCATAAAATGGAAGCTCAAACTAGTGGTTCCAGATTATACATTTATCATCGTATGTCATGAAATACCGCAGGATCGCACGAATACATAGATCAAGAAAAATACAAAAACTTGTTTTAGGTTCTAAGTTCTACCTACCTAGAACATGGAACCTACCCGTCGAAACATGATCCTCAATTTTTGGAATAGAACCTACCATGCATACCCTGGAACCTGGAACTGACAAGTTCCCAACGGTCTGATTCTCAGGTTTTAGGTTCTACCCTAGAACCATGCTCACCCCTACCCGCTGGTCATCACCGATGCCCAACCGGTGATGGGGCGGTGGCCATAGGCGGAGGGCCTCTGTGTTTCTCTCTTTTTTTTTTCCTTGTTTTCCTTTTTTTTATCAAAAAAAGGAAAAAAGAAAGAAAAAAGGAAAAAAAATCAAAAAAGTAAAAGACAAAAATGACCTTGACCAGCCAATGAGGTTAGGCTCTTTTTTGAGATTGACATGGCCATTTCATACCCTTATTTGACATAAAGTTCACTTTAGGCCTTTATTTGAGAAAATAATGGCATTTCATACCCTTATTTGAAATAAAGTTCATTTAAGATTATTATTTGAAAAAAATTAGGGCACTTCGGGTTTTTATTTAAAATTTTCCCCTACGGGGTTGATTCATTTGTTTATAGTGGTGATATGTCCAACATACGAGACCAAATCAACGGGAATAGTAATGAATAACAGATCTGGGTATGACGACACGGCAACCATTACCTGAAACCCAAAGAACTGATCGCTGAAATCGGCCATGGTGATCATTAAAAAAACCGCAACCACTCTCCTCGAAACAAGCACGTCCTCTCCGGTCTTTATGTGCTTCACCCTTATCCCCTCAGTGGGCAACAGCGACTGGACCTTCTTTCGCCACGCCTCGTCGCCTTTGAATACTCCCTTCTCTTTGGCACTCTGGAGGGATATCTCTGACAGCTTGAGGTGCTCGATGAGCTCCGAGTCATCATAGCGGAAGAGCAGGTCGTCGTGGATAAGGGCCTGCCTTGGGACGATGCAGAAGAGGTGGATGAGGCGCTCGGCAGCATCACCAACATGGCTACGGACAACTTCACGGTCGGTGTTGGGGTCGAAGATGGCCAGGTTAGCGTAGGAGTTGGAGTAGGCGGAGTGGAAGAGGCCGCAGAGGCAGACGGCATCAGGGGCCCGCCAGAGACGGAGGATGCGGTAAGTGTCGAGGAGGTGCTCAAGGAAGCTGCCGTGCTTGTGCCAGCACTCCCCGGCACCGACTGAGCGGAGGGTGGCCACAAGGGAGGGGAGGCGCGGGTCGACGACCTCGAGCTCGCCGCGTATGAATGGCCGCGCCTCCTCAAGGAGGGCTTGGAGGTCGGTGGCAGCGGGAGGAGAGAGAGATTTTGGTGTTGCTGGGGAGGCCACGGTACGGTTTGTTTGATTGAGAGAGAGAGATAGTGAGAGGGAGGTGACGGAGTTTTGATGACTGAATTTGTGTTTTTTATGGACCCAAATGTGAGGAATTCGTGTTTTTATGGCGGGAAAAGCGAGAGATTGTGGTGGTGCTGAGGAGGCCATAGTAGGAAGGAGATGGAGTTTAAATTTCGTTTGTTTGTGGAAGAAGAGAGAGACTGCTGAAAAGAATAAGGTTTTCTTGTGAGCTAGAGTTTGTGTTTGTTGAGATATTTATAGTATCTTTTGGAGGACTGTGTGCTTGCTACTGGACTGAGCTAAAGATCAAAGATTGAAATGAGAAGTTTGGGAAATAATATTTGGAGGGTTAAGATAGCTAGTGACCCATGTACATATTTTAGTTTATTTTTGTATCTGCTTTCAGTTCACTAATAATTTGATCAAAGGCCATATGATTATTACTGGTATGAGACATGGAGGTTCATTTCTTTGGTGTTCATGTTGATGGAGGAGATATATTCGCGGACATGTAGTTGATAGCCTCAATTACATAAATATTACATTGAATTTTACTCTAATTGATAGCATGGATATTATTATGCAAGCACAGTTAATCTCAAAATACATGTTAATCTAATTTTCTCCGGGTTATATGACATGAGGATAAGCTTTTTTTCCTTTTCATTATTGCAAATTCAGGATTAAAAATATCGTATATAGACTTGGGCAGATACGAGGGACAAAGTCAATCACAACATGTATGAAATGTGAAGAATTTGTGTTTTTTATGGACCCAATGGGAACTCTCTCATGTATAGATTTTTTTCCTTGCTGGTAAATTTCAACAAATATTAGTAAGTGTCAAAAAACTATTGGTAGAATAAAAGATCGATGACTTCTCGTTTAGGCAATTTGTTAGCAACTTACTAACACATTTATAAATTATGAACTCTTTTTGATAATTTGGAAATTAGCAACTTTGCGCGAACTTATCTTATTTAATTTACATAACTTACCAATTTTTTGAATTTACAACCTCTTACAAAAATTTACCAACCTAAGTCTAAGGGGTTTACCAACTTTTTTCTTATTATATTACCAACTAGTTTTTAAAACCAACTTTCATTTGAGTTACTTACCAATGCTCAATTTTTAATGAACACATTTTTTTCATTGAATAATTATTTCAAGCTATACAAACGATCATTTTTAGAAGGATTTTTTTCCAAATCAATCATCTTCCACGAAACAAACGGAGTCTTATTAACTTTTCTTTTGAGTCACCAATTTTTATTTATCTTAATTAGCGACCTCTTACATTTATTAATTATCTTTAGAGATTACCAATCTAAATTACCATAACTTACGAACCTACCTTCATTAAATTACCATCTAGAATTGGCAGGGAAAGTCCTAAAAAGTTCTAAACATATTATATTGGTATCAATTCATTCCTACAACTTTCAATTGGACCAATTTAGTCATAAATATTTTGTATTGATGTCAATTGAGCCCATTAAGTCAATTTTGACTGGAAATCGCTGATATGAACATCGATCATTTTATGCGCAACTGTCGCTAACGAAAATAAATTTTACAAATTTTATATTATTTTTCCTTTTTTATTTATTTATTGTGGCCGGAGAGGGTTTCGGCCGTTGCCCACTTGAGCCCTTGCCAAGGGATGTGGTTAAGGATGTGATTTCTACAAATAGTTATTCACCTTCCTCTGTTAAACAATATCAAATTCAAGGCTGAGAATGACGGCCTGCCAGGTAAGATGTCAATTCAATAGCAAAAGAGATGACCCTGAATGCTCGCCTAGATCTAATCAATTTCATGAAAGACTGTCTCCATAGTTCCTTATGCACCTTGTGTGTTAGTTTCGCGAAAGTTCATTGATTTGAACTTTTTTTTTTTAAATATTCTTTGTATCACTTATAAAAACGAAAAAACGAAAATTATTTTCTTTATTGGCAAAAATATTCAAGCATGGAATGTTTTTTATGATGAAATCATTTTCCGTCGACTAATTTTTCAAAACAACACAAACAATCATCTTAAGGAAAATATTTACCAAACTATCCAATTTTAGCGAGACAAACAAGCCTAGAATGCTCGGCTCCGGCAAGAGGTAATTGGTCAACCACGATAAGCTTTCTTTTCTGCTTATCTCATTCAATCGGGCAGTTAGGGGGGAAAAGTGTTAGAAAAGTCCTAAATCTATTATATTGATGCCAATTTAGTCCTAAATCTTTTATCTTTATGCCAATTCAGTCCTTCAGGCTAATTTTGATCGGATTTTGCTGACGTTGACGCCGATGCCGATCGGCTTATGCGGACAACTTTTAATAATATTTTAATATTTTTTCGAATTTTTTTAAAAACTTTTTTCTTTTTTTGCCTTTTCCTTTCTTGGTGACCAGCTGGAGGCTAGGGCCGGCGGCGAGGTCGCGGCCTTTGTTAGCGGCTGGGTGAGGCACGACCTCGCCGGATCTAGCAAGGTGGGGCCTCGCCCATGGTCGGCAAGGCTTGACCCTCGCCAGCCCAGCCCGAGGCTGCCCTTGAGACCATCCGACGAGGTCGAATGGCCGCGAGGGCGTCCTTGCACTGGGCTGGCGAGGCTCGCCCTCGCCGGATCGGGCGAGGGTCGAGCCCTGTCAGCCATGGGCGAGGCCCAACCTCGCTAGATTCGATAAGGTCGTGCTTCGCCCAACCGCTGGCGAGGGCTCGAGCCTTCGCTAGTGGCTGCGAGGTCGCGGGCGAGGCTTGTTGTTGCCGTCTCTAGTGAGGGCGAGCCTCGACAGCGGCCGGTGGGGCTCGCTGGCCCTGGCCTCCAACCGATTGCTGGACCGGCGACCGACTAGACAAAGAAGAAAGGAAAATAAAAAAGTATTAAAAAATTCTAAAAATATTAAAATATTATTAAAATTTATCAACGTCATCGTTGATAGTGTCATGTAAGTCAGCCGGTATCCACGTCAGTAAAATCTAATCCAAATTAGTCGGAACGACTGAATTGGCACAAAAATAAAAGATTTATGATTAAATTGACATAAAAAATATTTAAAATTAAATTGATATAAATTTAAAATATTTATGACTTTTTTAACACGTTTTTTCATAGTAAGCGTCCTTCACTGTTTTTCTTGCGAAACGTGATGCGATTTGTTTTGTCCATCGTTTGTCCACTTAGTAGTACAATAATTGCTTAATGTTGGTGTAGGACATTTGTCCACGTAGTAATACAATAATTGCACAATGTCAGGGGATCCTACACCGCACGCCCGAATTCCGTCCTTTTCCGCATTTTTGTCTAAGGAAGAAAGCAAAAGTCCTGACACGTCCCCTTGGAATTTGACTTCACCTAGCCTAACTCTGTCAATTTAAACAAGCAAAACGAGTTTTGGCAAAAGAGGACCAAAAAACATTCGCATGCACCAACTAAATCCTGTCAAACCAAGCCGCATTAATCAACTCCAGAAAGAACAAAATGTCAAAACCCCACACTAAAACTATGGGTGATCTCCCGCAAAATAGCAAAGCAAAGAGTTTGAATGGCATCAGTATACTCTACACATCAAATCAAACGCACAAACATAAAGAAAAGGGAAAATTCTAAATAAAGACTTGAAGTGAAGCCATTTTTTCAAAAAAAAAATTCAAAGTGAATACTGTCTTAAATAAGATTTTGAAGTGGCTAATTCAATCTCAAATGAGGATCTCAACTTCCAATCTTATTCATAGCCAGGGGCATTTTTGTCCAAGAACATTTTGTCTTTACTTTTCTTTTTCTTTCTTTTTTTTCTCTCTTTCCTTTTGATTTCTTTTCTTTCTTTCTTCGTCTTCCTCACGTCTCCTCCTTCGCTCTGCATCACCTCCATCTTCAACGCCATCATCAGCCCCTCTATTCTCTGTGATAAGACCTGTCACAATCTGGTCTTCACTCACTAACCTTTATTAGGGCTCTCTCTGATTGATTCTCCCCTTTGGCAAATTTTGAAGGCTGTAAGGTCGGTTTGTAAAATAAGGTGTTCCTGCTAAATTGGTAGAGCAACATCATTATATATGTCAGAAACATAGAAGGAATTACTGAGGAGGACAAGACGGAAAGGCATTTTTGCTGGAATCAACCATATTGGCCGTCCTTGGCGAGTTCTCTGAATTGTTATTGTTGAACTTGACAGAACTCAATATAAAGTGACGTGGGATTCCATCCTTATGCGTATCAGCGAGATTTATTTCTTCTAAGATAATGTTTATGCTTGTTTTGCCTGGTCTTCCAAGAAACAGACTTTTCGAGGATCTGAATAGAGGACTTCGATTCGCATTCCATCTGCTCATGCGATTCTTGAGGAGTGGCAAGACCTTAGATGCATATTTATGCGGGGATTATGATCAGTTTTCTCACTAGATCATTCGGCGGATTCCAAGTCCCGACTCGGAGGGGTGGAGGGTTCGTGCGACCAAGATGATATGCATCACGGCTTCTACCATTGGAACTCATTTCGCAATCGAGATGAAGCATGTGGACCAATTTGATTTCTTTGCACGCTCGGACAAGAGACGCGAAACAACGCATCCCCAACCCGAGGATGCTGAGAGATCCCAAAGCTAATGGATGCTTATCTTACTCGAAAGGGAGCTGCGAAAGTTTCGTTAGGGCAAAGATTGGTCAGCATTTGGGCAAAGTTTCTTTGGAGATATGCATGGACATGCTATTAGTAATTTAGCACAAATGCTGACCAATCTTTGCCCTAACGAAACTTTCGCAGCTCCTTTTCGAGTAAGATAAGCATCCATTAGCATTGGGATCTCTCAGCATCCTCGGGTCGGGGATGCGTTGTTTCACGTCTCTTGTCCGAGCGTGCAAAGAAATCAAATTGGTCCACATGCTTCATCTCGATTGCGAAATGAGTTCCAATGGTAGAAGCTGTGATGCATATCATCTTGGTCGCACGAACCCTCCACCCCTCCGAGTCGGGACTTGGAATCCGCCGAATGATCTAGTGAGAAAACTGATCATAATCCACGCATAAATATGCATCTAAGGTCTTGCCACTCCTCAGGAATCACATGAGCAGATGGAATGCGAATCAAAGTCCTCTGTTCAGATCCTCGAAAAGTCTGTTTCTTGGAAGACTAGGCAAAACAAGCATAAACATTATCTTAGAAGAAATAAATCTCGCTGATACGCACAAGGATGGAATCCCACGTCACTTTATCTTGAGTTCCGTCAAGTTCAACAATAACAATTCAGAGAACTCGCAAAGGATCGCGAATATGGTTGATTCCAACAAAAATGCCTTTCCGTCCCGTCCTCCTCAGTAATTCCTTCTATGTTTCTGACATATATAATGATGTTGCTCTACGAATTTAGCAGGAACACCTTATTTCACAAACCGATCTTACAGCCTTCAAAATTTGCCAAAAGGGAGAATCAATCAGAGAGAGCCCTAATAAAGGTTAGTGAGTGAAGACCAGATAGTGACAGGTCTTATCACAGAGAATAGAGGGGCTGATGATGGCGTTGAAGATGGAGGTAATGTAGAGCGAAGGAGGAGACGTGAGGAAGATGAAGAAAGAAAAAAGAAGAAAGAAAGAAAGAGAAAAAAAAAGAAAGAAAAAGAAAAGTAAAGACAAAATGTTCTTGGACAAAAATGCCACTGGCTATGAATAAGATTGGAAGTTGAGGTCGTCATTTGAGACTAAGTTAGTCACTTCATATCCTTATTTGAGACAATATTCATTTTGAGTCTTTTTTTTTTTGAAAAAATGGCTCCACTTCGAGTCTTTATTTGAAATTTTCCCTAACATCTCTCTAAAACTGCTCATCTTTGATTGTAGGACACTCGTAGGACAATTTATTGACCTTTGAGTGAAGCATATTTTCCGGGAGTGAACCAAAGCCTAGACTATCTCACTCGAATCCAAAGAAGCCAGCTGGATTTCGAGCCGACAGATCAGGGATTCACCTCCTTTGAAACTACTACAATCTTCATCTCCAATTGCTCGATAATTTTCGCGAGAACATTTTGTATGCTGATCGTTACGGTATCTCTTTTTGATAGGATTGCCACTAGATCCTTACACAATGCATATGCCCATTTGTGTTATGTATTCTTGTTCTGCTTTCCTACCCAAGCTAGGAAAAGCAATCGAGCCATTTTTTTTCAATAATTTACTCCCATAAATACATTGTTGCTCTTCAAAATATTTTTTTCTCTAATATTAAAGTTAATAATTCCGACCAAATAATAATAATAATAATAATAATAATAATAATAAAGAGGGCGTCTATTAATTTGCATATTTTCTAGAGCAATAGAAAAAGGAAAAAAGAAAAAAAAATCCGAGGAAAAACCTCCCACAAAAACCCCAAAATTCAATCAAATTTCTTCAACTCCACTTTCTCTCTCTCGATCTGTCTCCTTCGTCGATCTCTCCTCTCGGTCATTCTTCGATCAGATGGCCACGCAGCGCGCAGTCCACCGCGCGACCGCCGCCTCCTCCGTCAATTCCCTCCGCCGCTTCTGCTCCTCCACCGCCCCCGCCGCCCCTGGCCACCGGCAACCGCCGCAGGACCACAAGTTCCTGTCCCCGAGCCCGTACGTCGGGAGCTGGGAGACGCCGAAGGACCCGAAGGAGGCCGAGGCGAAGCTGGCGGGGCTGAGAAGGGAGTACGCGAAGCAGGTGAAGGAGCTGAGGAAGGAGTACATCAGGGAGGTGGAGGTGATGAGGCTGGAGCAGCAGAGGAAGGACGAGGCGAAGAGAGAGGCGATTAGGGTTGCGAGGGAGGAGCGGAACAGGGTGAAGGCCGCCGAGGCGAAGGTCAGGGCCGAGGAGAGGATGGTCGCCGAGGAAGAGTTTCGGCGGATGCTCGTGAGTCCTCTCTCTGGGTTCTTTGTTGGTTGAATGGCTCATGAAACTGTTTAGCTAGATGCTTTGTTCATGTAGGTGCTTGACTGAGTATGTCATGAATAGCATGGTGTGTGATTTGCAAGTGCTGAATGCAGAGAAGTGTTTTCTGCCACTTGACAATGGAATATGAAGCAAATGATATCCTTGTTGTGATCACTGGCTCAAAAAATGATCTTTGTCAACTAGTTTCATATATGCTTTTGTGATTTTGGAGAGAAAGGATTCGAGGATTCAAACCTCGCTTAAAGCGGGACTAAGAAGAAAAAGATGGGGTGAGAGGAATTGAATGATTTTTCGAAATATACTGTATAGTGGCCCTTGGAGAGTATGAACTGCTAACATTTGACCAAAGCCCAGTACGTGAATTAACAGATTTTCAAGAAAACTGGGGGTGTCAGTGTAAGTGGAAAACAAGATTAACTTTTTGTAAAAAGCTGAATGGGGAAGTGCAACGACATTAGTGCTAAAAAGGCTTTGTTTTCTTGCACAATCTTCCTAGTCGATGGCATTTTGGGACCATGGATTATTATCAGTCCTCGGCAGTCTATAATTTGAGTGTGCTGTCTTGATTTAGCTTACCGATTCTCTTTTCCTAAGGTAGAAATATCGAGATTTTAAAGCGATTCATATGTTCCTTTGATTTTGAAGTATTAAGACAACCTTTTGGACCAAAACCCATAAGCAAAGCTGAGAAGTTGTGGTCACCCTGCCTATTTGGAAGTCTTACTGCTCCAAAAACAGTTTGGCAGGGCAGGAAAAGAGCAAAGCTATGAAGGCAAAGGCACCCCTGTCAATAGCATCTACTACAAAAGGCATATTATCAGTAGGGAAATTGCAGTTCAATCCCCCTAGGTGTAATTTTTTATATGCAATGATGAGTTTGGGCTTTGATCCTTTATGTTCTGTAAGTTAGTTGGCATGGTGAATGTTGGCACCTTTTCCGCAGCTTCTTTCAGATCTTATAGGTCAGACGAGATAGAATTTCTGACCCATGAGTTCACACATACGGCCTGATGGATGAGGGTTCAACCTAAAAAAAAGGAGTGCCTTTCTTGAATGTTTAATTCCCAGATTAAATTTTGTTCATAAGTTGCTGCAAAACCTTTTCTGCTAGTGTGTCTGTTTTATTTATAGAAAGGGAAAGAAGGAAAAAATACCAATCTTCTGCACTAGTGCGGGACAGCAGATTCTTCAAACTTTTAATCCAAAGTCCGATCTTTGATTGGCAACCTTTGTATGCTTGAAGAAGGCTGCTTCCTTCCTTAGTATTGCGATTCCATTTCCCATGCTTTCCCTACTTATGTTCTCTTGTTGCAAGGATCAACATGCATCGGACATGAAGCTCGTTGTGATTTTCCAACGGATTCCTGTTGAACATGTATTACTTTGGATCGTATCCTAGTATTAGTTCAGTTGATATGTGTGGGGCCCATCCCACCATCATGGCAAGGAGAAATGACAACGACATGGATATTTCTTTTTGGGTACACTGATAATATGGTTATAGGGTACATGGATGAGGCTTAAGAAATGTTGGTGAACTTGCAGTTAACCATAGTGTCGGGTAAGAAGGGTAAGTTATTTTGTTTAAACTGTGTCATGTCACTTCATTTACCGCATTAGACTATGCATTAGTGGATTGTGTATGTTCATCAAAGTAAATTCTCAGTTATGGTAGTTTAGTCTAGGACATGGCTGTGCTTCTTCTTTTTGTGCTTCTCAAGAAGTTTAGCAGTGGTCGAGCTCTTTCTACCACACAATGTTTCTGGTGCTTGTGAGGTTGTAGTGCAGTTAATAATGTGCTTGTTCTTTTCTTAAGAACCAAATCTATTTCCTTTCTTCCTCGTTTTTTCCCCTTTTGGTAGGAACTCAGATCATGATGTCCTTTCCCAAATGACTTGAATGCAGATGAAAGAAAGGGCTGAGAAACTTGAGAACTGGAGGATGAAAGAGAAATCGAGGGAAGATAAGACGAAAGAGGCCCGTGAGCTGTTGCGCCGGAAAAGCTCCATCTGGGTTGATCAGTCTGAATTAGAGAAGAAAATACTGGAAGCCATAGTTGATACGACCACCCTGTGATTTGAATCGCTCTGCATAGTTCTGCTATAACCTGCTCATTCATAATAGACAGTCTCTGGAGTTGGGAGCATTTTAGATTCAAAGGTTAGCCGAGGCCGAGTTCTGTGTTGCCTCTTAAGTTTAGAAACTTTTTCCGGCAGAGTTAGTCCTCGAGTTTTGGAATTGGTGCAATCTGCATATCATCATTCCTCATGCTGCTCATGTGTTGTAGTCCATTTTCATGAGATCTTTTGGGTATGTGCTTCAATACTTATTCTGAGAATGTGGCATGCAATGTGTTGTTTGACAAAACATGTAAAGTGGACAGAAGTTGAGGACGACTTTGCATTTTGCGCGGCTTGAACTATGGTAAAGAAGATCATCAATTCTTTTCCGTGGTTGAGTAAGTGTCCTCGAGAATCTTGGATCGTCGAATTTCAATGAAACATTATCTACCATCGGATCAGACTAAATTCAGCCTAAGACAACAAATTGGTTTGGCTAGTTTGAAAGTAATTTTCTAGAATAGCATAACTTTTTAAAGTAATTTGTATTTTTTGGTATCAAAGAATTAGTAACCAATGATTTGTTGAAAGTATAATCAACGAACGAGCATCACAAAACACGGGCAGAATTATGCAAATGAAACAATGAATTGAATCAATAAAGTTGCATATGAAGCCCTCCGAATGGGTAAAAAGCTGAAGAAGAACTGCAATGAAACTCGATCAACATCGTGGGTACATTGATCACTTTTAGAGACGTGCCAACGAGTCGATTCACCTCGGAATATAATTTGATAAGTTTAATTCTTAGTTAAACTGATCTAATTCTCAGTTCATGACATGGATATCAAGTAGGATCTTTGTTCTTATTTTAGAACTATTGATTCCACGCTAAACACGAAATCGGAAAAGTCGTAAATTGCTATTCGTCTCACTCAGTCATAGACCACGTCTTAATCCTACACCAATTTCTTAAAATATCTCTATCTCTCTCTCTTATTGCACTCGTTAGTCTTCCACATTCTCGACTCTAATGTCTCTATCTAACCATCGATGCATCGTCATTGGTTATTGGCCTCGCTCGCAATTTATTTCGGGTGTTGTTTTTCTTTTGTACCATATTTAAGGATAAAAAAACCATAAATAAATAGAAAAATAACGACTAACATCCCATTTTTTTGGCTATAAGATTACAAAAATTGATAATCCCTTTTCCAATTCATTTAAGTCAATTCATGATTCAATCGTGTGGTTTGAAAGAATCATTTGTGCCTTTTGTTCTTAAGCCAGCAGGTAGGGAAATCCGTCGCATGACTACTTTTTTCCATAATTACAGAACCCAAAAATAAAAAAGAGGAGAAAATAATAAAAGAAACTCAAACCATGCCGCACTTTTACTCATGTGAGTCTTGAGAACATCCTTAACCTGCTACCGGTCGTTCCGGTCTCTTCTGCGACGTCTACCGTCGCCACCCCTTCCATCTTCTCTCTCTGCACTCTGCAGCCTCAAATTCTTCCTCTTCCACTGCAGCTGGGAACCTCCATCAGTCTTTCTTGGAGTCGTGGAAGGTTTCTTGGGGGGGTGCATCCGTTGTTGAAGTTCGCTCCTTTTCGGGCGTCTTCGACCTCTGGTCATGTCAAATTCCTCACTTTCGCTGGTAAGGCCCCTGCTTTTCGCTCTAATTTTGCTTCAACGAGCTGGTTGCGTATGCTTTGTTTATTGCTTGATTCGTACCGTCGTTTCTCTTTTAGGTATGGCTTGATTGTCGTTCTGGGTGAGGGGGGGGTGTGATTTCCTGATGCTAATCTTCTCCGACTGTCGAGACGAACTTGATTCGCGTAGTTATGACCCGCTGGTTGCTGAATTTGACTGAAAATCTGCCTGGCTGTGCTTTTGATCTCGGCGAGTTTGGATGCATTGCTTTAAATCGGTAAATTTTAATGTATTTTTTACATTGAAGAGGTTGGAATCACCGGGTCGTCTTTAGATGCTGCCGTGGCTATGTGTTTGAATAATTAAAGCTCAAACTCCATATGTTGTTGGACGGTTTTCGTCCTAGTTTCTATTGCAGCATCGCTAATTATAGTGATTGATTTTAATTCGCGGTGCTGGTGCTTGGATTTGGCCTAGCGTGCTGTTGGTTTGTTACGCCGGAGAATGATTGTTTTATGCCCGCTTGGAGCGCGGTGAAAAGTGTGGATCCATATTAAGGTTACGTTTTGTCTACTAAGGGAGATTACTTTTGCAGTCTATTTTCTTTTTCTATGAGCTAGCCAATTTTATATACCTGTTATAAGGGAGCTTGTATCTTTCCATGTTAAGTGGCATACCTAGAAAACTTTTGTGGGAGATAATGCTATTTTTAAAAATTTGAATTGCTAGACAGATACGATCGCCGAATAAAGTGGAGTTATCAGGTGATGTGTTGCACTGTAAATGTTTGCATCCAAGCGGTGTGTCTCCAAATGCCAAGCAACTCTTTCAAAAGAACTTGGGTTTTGTCGATATCCGATTAAAAAAAGGAAAGAGTTATTTGGATGTCTTAGTGCCATAAACATAGAAGTACTATTAGATGCTAGAATCAGATTTTTATAACCTAACACTCGTTTTTCCCATCTCCTTTCAGATGTCATTGTTGAAATGTCTTTCGGAGGATCTTGGATGCTGTTATTCAGTTTTGAGGTTCAGCCTGGCATCATTTTCAGGTCTGAACTTATCCTGAGAAGTTTCCTAATCCTACAGTTTGATAGCTGAATCCTCTGGGTCTCAGAGGATTACATTCAAGACTATAACTTGATGGGCCCTTTTTGATCAAATAATGGCAGAGATATTTAGTTACACAGCTTGCAGACAGTTGTCCCAATTGCTCTTGTCGATCATCTTCTTTCATGGGTCTGAGTATATCCTCGCAGTTGCCTTTCATGGAAGATCGAATGTAACTCTTAAATCCCTCTTGGTCAGCCGAAATTATCTTCTTGCAATGTTCTTTTCGCTGGTGGAGTATCTTCTTGAAGTTTCTTTATTTCCAGCTTTGAAAGAATGCTGGTGGATCAGCAATTTCGGCTTAGCCATGATTGTAGTTGGGGAAATCATCAGGAAGATGGCGATTATAACTGCTGGGCGGGCGTTCACGCATTTGATCAAAATCTATCATGAGGATCATCACAAGTTGATAACTCACGGAATATATCGATTCATCCGTCATCCTGGATATTGCGGATTTTTCATCTGGTCAGTCGGGACTCAGATAATGCTGTGCAATCCCGTGTCAACATTTGCTTTCGCAGCAGTTGTTTGGCATTTCTTTGCGACACGGATACCATATGAAGAGTTTTTCCTAAGACAATTCTTCGGGCGAGAGTATGAGGAATATGCCCAAACTGTCCCTTCTGGGGTCCCATTTGTGAAGTGAGTTCTACATCTGAAGGTCTCAGGAAAGAGTGTAGCATCCTAGATTCAGGTAATATTGCCTAGTGGAGGCCTCTATATAGTAAATTAAATTGGATTGGACTATGTCGAGACTTCTATTTGTAGATGAATCTCTTTGAGCTCTTCAGCTACAGATTGGACTATTTATCAGTTGTAAAGCACAATTTTACAAATTGTGAAATCATTTTTGCTCAGCATGTGAAAGTTTTGTGCAGACTTGACAACTTGCTACAAGATGGCTCATCGTGCTTGTCCTTAGGTCTCTCTTATGTTATGGTTGTGTTGCATTTAGAACATGCTTTATATTGACTTATCAACATGGTTTTGCTGCATAATTGAGCTTTTCATCCCTTGGTGGTGGGATGGTGGAGTTGTACATGTTCTGAGTTCCAAAATTGAATCTTCTGTTATAAGATTTTGTTGCTGTTCAATGATGTCCGTTGACTCTACAATATTCCCATAGTAGTCATTCTGTTTTGTCTTGGTTTTGTCTCTTATTTGGAGGAAGTAGAAACTATTTGGCTAGGTTATCATGTGTGACCTACTAATCACTAAATTAAGTTTCATTTTTTGCTTTCGAGGTGTGATTTGAATTTCAAGCTGTTGTCGTCACTTCTTAGAAAGCTCGAAGTGATGCCACTGTACATTTTTTGCGTCAGTACACTACTCGGTGTTTTTATATATAACACAGCTCAAGATGAACAACTAGCCTGTGGTCATCGCTAGTGGCTTTGTGAATTACATTTTGAACTGTTCGGTTGTTTCCTAAACTAGCAAACAGAATTCATACAATTTTTTCTCTAGCATGCACTCAGGGCAAGCTATTCTGCATGTATCTGTGATAGCAAACTATTTCATGTTGGAAGGGAAAACTGATTCAAAAGATCAGTAAGCAACCGTAGCATATCATTCTGGAATATGAAGATGGAAATTGACAGGAACACGAGCCTTAACACCCTATAACAAAAGAAAACAGGTCAAGTCAATGATGATTTTGCACGATGCACTTGACGAAGAGCTATGAACTTGGGGATTAGCTTGTCATGAGGTGGCCAACAATCTTTGATTACTGGAGCACCTGAGAACTCATTCAACCATGCATATAGAAGTGCAAAGCTAACCACTTTGATAGAGTTGCTTGGCATTTGGAGACACAATGCTCGGATGCAAACATGTGCAATGCAATAATCACCCAATAACTCCATTCTATGCCTTTGTGTTTATGGCACAAGGAACATCCTAAAATAATTCTTTACGTGTCTCTAGCATGCGCTCAGGTCACACTACTCTCTATATAGATACATATCAATCATCTGGGCTAGCAAACTAAATCATAGTTGAAGGGCAAACTGATTCAACAGATCAGCGAGTAAGCGCAGCATATCATTTGGCAATATGAAGATGAAAATTGACATTAAAACAAGTCTTAACACCCTCCAACAAAAGAAAATAGATCAAGTCGAGGATGATTTCACGCAATATGCTTGGCGAAGAGCAATGAACTTGGAGTTGAGCTTGTCATAGGTTGGCCAACGACCTTTGATTACTGGAGCATGTGAGAACTCCTCCAACCATGCATATAGAAGTGGAAACCTCTCACCATCAATCACTTTGAAGCTGCATATCTCCTCAAAGACTCTATTTAGATTGGCTAACCATCCAACTGCAATGTCCAGATATCTGATGTTGTCTCCGGCAAAGAAAATCTTCCCCCTAAGCTCTTCTTCCAGCTTCTGCAGGTGCTCACTTGCCTCTGCAAGAGCTTAGATGCTAGAATCTGATTCTTTTATAACCTAACAATCCTCTTTGCCATCTCCTTTCAGATGTCATTGTTGAAATGTCTTGCCTTGCTTTCAGATCTGAAGTTAGTCTGAGAAGATTCCTTATTTACAGTTTCATAGCTGAATCCTCTGGGTCTCAGAGAACTACGTTCAAGACTATAAATGTATCCGCCTTATTTGATCAAATAGTGGTAGAGATATATAGTTACACAGCTTGCAGACAGTTGTCCCAATTGCAGTGGTTGTGTTGCATTTACAATATGCTTTGTATTGACTTATCCAAATGGTTTTTCTGCATGATTGACCTTTTCAACCCTCAGTTGTGAAGGTGATGGAATGGTGGAGTTGTACATGTTCTAAGTTCCAAGATGAAATCTTCTGTAACAAGATTTTGTTGCTGTTAAATGATGTCAGTTGACTCTACAATATTTGCATAGTTGTTTCTGTTTTCTCTTGGTTTTATTGCTTATTTGGAGGAAGAAGGAACTATGTGGCAAGCTTATCATGTTTGACCTATTAATCACTAAATCAAGTTCTATAATTTACTTTCGAGGCATTATTTCGATATTCAATCTATTGTCGTCACTTCTTAAAAAGCTCAATGTGATGGCATTTTACACATTTTGGTTGGTGCACCATGGTATATGTCTGTACACATGACAGCTCAAGATGAACAACTAGCTAGTAGCCATGTGCTACTGCCTTTGTGAATTAAACTGTGAACTGTTCGATTGTTTTCTGTCCTAAACTAGTAAATATTCCACTGTTCACTCAATTCAAACCAATTTTATCTCTAGCATGCACTCAAGGGAAAACTATTCTGTATGGAAACATATCATCTGTGATAGCAAACTATTTCATCGTTGAGGGGAAAACTGATTCAAAAGATTAGTAAAAAAGTGCAGCATATTATTCTGGAATATGAAGATGAAATTGACAGTTGCATGAGCCTTAACACCCTTTGACAAAAGAAAACATGTCAAGTCGATGACGATTTTGCGCGAAAATATTGACAAAGAGCAATGAACCCGGAGATGAGCTTGTCATGGGGTGGCCGACAATCTTTGATTACTGGAGCATCTGAGAACTCTTTGAACCATGCAGATAGAAGCGGAAACCTCTCACCATCAACCGCTTTGAGGCTGGATATCTCGTCAAAGACCCCAAGTAGATTGGCCAACCATCCAAGTGCGATATCCAGATATCCGATGTTGTCTCCGCTGAAGAATTTCTTCCCTCTGAGCTGTTCCTCCAGCTTCTGCAGGTGCTCAGTTGCATCTGCAAGAGCTGCTTCTTGCTTTTTGCCTTCACTTATAAAAGCAGTCCACATTGATGGCACAACCTGCAAAATTCACCCCCCAACCCAAAAATGGATGTTATGTGTGCATCCAAATCTTAAATAATCCCTAGGTCAGTTTCGTTTCGAATATACATTATTTTGGTGAGTAGTTTCAAATAGAGTTTTCAAAGCTCATATGATAAATACTGAGTAATATTGTCTCTGCCTTCTCTAAAAGCACATAATATGATGAAAATCAATAGACACTGACTCTTTCTTGTGATCAACATTTATTTGTGTAAAAGGTGCTTAAGAGAAACAAATCTACATGGCGCATGATCAAGAACCTTGTCATCACCAAATTTGGCCCAAAATCGCGCCATGGCCCTCGCATAAGGATCCTGTGGGAGAAGCGGGTGTTGCTTCCATGTCTCGTCGATGTGCTCAAGAATTATCAGGGACTCTGAGATCGGTCTACCGTTGTGGAGAAGCACTGGTACCTTCTTATGAACCGGGTTATACTGTAAAAGAAGGTCACTTTTGTTGGAGAGATCTTCCAGGACGGATTCGTATTGAATGCCTTTGAGATGCAGTGCCCAAACGACCCTCAAAGCGAATGGGCTCGACCATGTCTCGAACAGTTTCACCTCCTCTGCCATGTCGTTGGTTTGATCATAAGATTCACTTCAACCTTTGAAGGGACCCTTTAACAAAACAGGCCTTCTTGTGCTGAAGTCATCTTCGGCTTACCTGGTCATGCGAAGATTCTCTGTTTCTTTTTTCCTGATTACCTGCGTGGGAATTACATGGATGTCTCCATCTAGCCCCAGCCGGATGGAACAGACGTGAATCTTTGATATCTTTATTATTGGAGAAGCCGGCATTTGAATCAACTCGTTCGTTCGGATTCTGATAGGTGTACCTGACGTGCCATTTCCACTAGCTTTGTTTTCTTACGATCATCTGGATGCCTTGATATTAGATCGAGGTTACCTTGAATTTATCAAAAAATGCTGCAAAAAGATCATAATTGATGAACTTGAAGACCCATTTTGTACTCATTTACTTGGATAGATTGACAGAGCCGGAAAAGGCCGAAATACAAGAAAAACCCATAAACTTATATTCGAAATACCCGTGAAAGCTCAGTTCTCTCTTGGTTTTCTTACTTATTCCTACGGTACTATGTGGCAAGGTTATCATGTTGGACCTATGGATCACTAAATCAAGTTCCATAATTTGCTGTCGATGCGTTATTTCAATTTTCAAGCTATTGTCATCACCTCCTAGAAAGCTCAATGTGATGCCATTTTCCACTTTCTGGTGAGTACACTATTCTGTATGTTTATGTATACGACACGGCTCGGGATGAACAATTAGCCAATAGCCATGTGCTAGTAATGGCTTCGTTAGTTACGCTTTGAACTGTTCGATTGTTTCCTGTCCTAAACTAGCAATTATTCCATTGTTCACTGAATTCAAAGCAATTTTGTCTCTAGCATGCACTCAGGGCAAACTCATTGTATTTATAGAAACAGACCATCTGGGATAGCAAACTCTTTCATAGTCGAAGGGAAAACTGATTCAAAAGATCAGTAAGCAAGCACAGCATATCATTCTGGAATATGAAGACGAAAATTGACTGTAACACGAGTCTTAACAACCTCCAACAAAAGGAAATAGGTCAAGTCGACGACGATTTCTCGTGATGCAGTTGACGAAGAGCAATAAACTTGGAGATGAGCTTGTCATGGGGTGGCCAGCAATCTTTGATTACTGGAGCATCTGAGAATTCCTTTAACCATGCAAATAGAAGTGGAAACCTCTCACAATCTACCACTTTGAGGCTTAATATCTCCTCAAAGACCCTGATTAGATTGGCCAACCATCCAAGTGCGATGTCCACATATCCAATGTTGTCTCCGCCGAAGAATTTTTTCCCTATAAGCTCTTCTTCCAGCTTCTGCAGGTGCTCACTTGCCTCTGCAAGAGCTGCTTCTTGCTCTTTGCCTTCACTTAGAAAAGCAGTCAATACTGATTTTATAACCTGCAAAATTCCCTCCCCCACCAACAAACAGATTACAAAATAGATACGCCATTGTGGTGTTCTTTTTCATCTAAAATCTTAAAGAAACATGTAATCAGAACTTGGGTCAGTTTAGTTTCGAATATACATTATTTTGGTGAGTAGTTTCTAATAGACTTTTCAAGCTCATGTGCTGAATACTGCGTGTAACATTGTCTCCGACTTCTCTAAAACCACATGATCTGATGAAGTCAATGGACGTAACTCTTTCTTTGCGATCAACATTTATCCATGTGCAGGGTGCATAACAGAAACAAACGCTAAACGACATCTGATCAGTTACCTTGTCGTCGCCGAATTGGGCCCAGAATCGCGCCATGGCCCTCGCATAAGGATCCTGCGGGAGAAGCGGGTGTTGCTTCCATGTCTCATCGATGTACTCGAGAATTATCAGGGACTCCGCGATCGGTCTTCCATCGTGGAGAAGCACCGGTACCTTCTTATGAACCGGGTTATACCGACGAACAAGTTCGCTTTTTTCGAAGACATCTTCCAGGACGGTTTCGTATTGAACGCCCTTGAGCTGCAGTGCCCAAACGATCCTCAAAGCATACGGGCTCGACCATGTCCTGAACAGTTTCACCTCCTCTGCCATATCGTTGGTCTGATCAAATGATTCACCTCAACCTTTGAAGTGACCCTTTAACAAAACAAGCCTTCTTGCACTCGAGTCATCTTTGGCAGAAGCTTATTCTTGGTCTTACCTGCTCTTGCGACGATTCCCTTAATTTCCTGATTGTCTGCTGCATGGGGACCACATGGATGTGTAGCTGTGTTCATTTGTCACCATCTTTCCCGAGGCCTTGACATTAGATTGATGTGACCTTGAGTTTATCCAGAAATGTTGCAGTGAGATCATAATTTATGAACTTGAAGACCCATTTGTATTCATTTACTTGGACGAATTGATAGAGCCCAAAAAAGGCCGTATTCCCACAAAATCCACAAATCCACCATTAATTTTTCAGTCCAGTCCATGCAAACTAATGTGACATCTGACGTGGCTAATGACGCTAACGTGAAAAGATAGACACATCGGTAAGAGCTAAAAGACAATACGGACACATAAGCAAAATCAATACCACATGTTTCTTATTCCTCTGGATTAGGACTTACGCGCTTCACATTTCAGAAGAAAATAGAGAGGCAGGGTTCGGCCTTCGTGATCTGGACTAATCTTCTTCACCCTTCAATATGTGATGATTTTCAATGCTTCATGTCGGATCGTTTCAAAAGTCAGGATATTTCATCCTATTATCAAAAGTTCGGTTTTTTTTTTAAAACTTGGCTGACGGAAAATGGGGGAAAAAGGGCATACAAAGATGTTTTGCAGCAAAATCTTGGCCGCTCTATTCCATTTTACTTTCCCAATAGCTTAAAGCAATCATGGTGGTCAGGTTGTCTTATGTCTGATCTTAGTTTTCAAATGGCACTGAGCATCAATATCCCATACGTCTGCCTTCAAAGTGCAGCTGCAAAGGGAATAAATTGATTCGAAGTTTCTGCAATCTCATTACAGTAACTACATGTAGGAGAGAAATGAAATGAGAACTGCCGTAAATGAAGAATGGGGTAAAAGCTTTAGAAAGTAGTATATACACATGGAGGAAAGAAACAAATGATTCATGTCCTTCGTAGATTCCTTTCTTTCCCCCGAGCTGCGATATCACAAAAACATGGTGGAATTGAATTCTTCATTCTTTGGTCCATATCGTTGCTCTTGCAGAATGTTTAGCCTTGAGAACCTCCAGACATGGACAGGTAGGCAACCAAGAGGTGTAAAGGGCACTCTCAAGTGTTCCACACTCCACCCCATGTGAGAACCACATTTCTGAGAGAGAGAGGGAGACGACGATGCTCCCTGAATATATGAATTCTTCGCCCACAGGCCACGAAAACTATCCTTCTACTTTGTCCACAGCATGATGCTAGACCTTGCTTGGGCTCAGCATGTCAAAGGATGTCAAAATTTTGGGTACTGGGAAGGAAGGGCAAATCAATTTCAACCATCATACAAGAGTGACGCAGAAAAACTGAATACTAACCGCAGATATGACCATACGTGGAAATGTTCAAGGTAAAAAATGCTAACATTTATCCTCCACTCAAAACTTCGAAGATTTGATATGACAAAGTCCCTTCTCATCACCAACCAATACTTAAGTTCTATATATATTATATGCAAGTGCACAGGCATACTAATTATCACCCTATTATTATGTAATTTGTGGAATTAAGAGGTGCATGCAGGATGCAAAGCCGAAGTGAGTATATGAGCAGCATGAATTGAACAAAATCCACCCAAGAATCAGAGAATCAGTATGAGTAATAAATCGTCCTCCTCAAGAAACTAAGAGCAACAGCAGACCTGAATAAATACCTTCTCACTCATATTTTATTTGATTCTGGGGTTGAGAGAAAAATTCTTTGGCATTGCGAGCCACCTCTGCCTCCAACATAGCCTCTAACACAATGTCAGATCCTTTTACATCGTCTGCCAAATATCAGAGATCCACTTATTGGACACAATTTAAACAGCATACAACCAGAACAACTCCAATAATTTTTTCTTGAGTAGAACAAGTCTTCAATTTATCCAGGAGGCCAGTCAAAAACTCAATGACCAAACCCTTGACAAAGGCCAAAGAAAATCATACAATGATAGAACCTGAGAGATGTGTTACCTTTCCGATTTGGCAATAAACCGGCAGTTTCAGCTGACACGGGTAAGATGGTAGGAGAGCCAGATTCATCATCAAGTCTGTCTGCCTCAGTACTGCTTTGTGGTGAACCAGACCTAATGGCCGGTGATTCAGCTAACTTTGCATATGTGATTGCCTGGCTATGCATATTAGTTAGGTCGGATCCAGTGCTACCGCAATCCTACCAAAAGTTTAATGTGTCAGAGTAAATTCAACTCTGCGATCTTAAGAGATGAAAACAATAATATTGCCAGACAAAACCTTCGTGAAGTTAGTCATCTGTGTATCTCCTTCGGTAGGTGCTTCAGGCAATTTGTCACCTATATACCAAAAGAGAGAAAACATGAGGAATCAGAGATGCGTTATAGTTATAGGCTATATAGCAACCAGCTTTCAGCAAACAATCATCAACAATTACCGCTGCCAGCAGAGGTGTTATTCGGATCATCCACCAGCCTTCGAGTTAACGGGCCAGGATTCATGAAAGATATGCTTCTGATTTCATGGCGTATGGCTTCCAACTGGGCTATCGTGTCCTGTAGCTCCTTGTGCACCTGAATGTCCAAGTAAAGTTGTAAGCGTGTGAAAACCATCCAAGCCTAAGTGACAGCCCAACTATTCGATAAAAATGACAATCCAGACATCTTCCAAAATGCTGTTTTTTTTCAGCAATGTAGCTATTTTTCACAAGTTCCAGTTTATGTGCTCGATGCTAAACCAGACGCCTCAATTCAAATTCCATAACTCTACCGTGCACTGCTCACATCAACAGAACTCCTAGTCTTTCGCACAATGTACATTGCCACTCTACTCCAAATCTTCATCAACACTTCGATTGACAGTCTCTACCTTATCAAACCTCCCAAGGACTATATTGCCAATGAGAAAAACTGAACGGCTATTTATCGAACCATTAGTTGATACAAAATTTCACTGAAATGCAAGCAGACACAATCATATCAACGAGGAAAAGGAACAACCTGACGGGCTTGAGTCTGCTGCATGACGGAATCGAACTGCCCCCGGGCTAATTGAACGTACCCGATGGCTCGACCAGCCAACTGGCCCGCGGTTCTAGCTACGAACGGAAGGTCCTTGGGTCCTGTCAACGGGTCACCAATGAAAACTCGACTCATCACATCACCGACACAAATGGAGAAGGATGAACGTAGAAGCCTTGCGCGCATATGGATGTGTAAGAGAGAAGAGAGAGAGAGACCGATAAGGGCGGCGGTTGCTCCGATCAAGAGGAAGAGCTCGCCATAAGAAATTCCAAACATTTCGCGGTTAATTGTCGAGGGGTCGTCAGCTTCAGATTCTCTGAGTCTGTTACTCACGAACTTCTGTAGAAGAAGAAGAGGGGTTTCTGATGAGCAAGTGTCGGGTACATATACCGGGTCGGTCAGTTCGGACGGAATCGGTTCGACCCACGTGCCTTTAGACAGAGCTTGAAAACCCAGATTGTGGATCTCACGTATAGCAACTTCACAATGCAAAAAAGGGTTTATTCAAAGTACCAACTTCTCAGCTCAGAGATCGGTATGGGAACAATTGCAACCAAGCCCAAACGTCAAGGAAAGCAGCAGAGGATTACAACCAAGGTCAACAAGGATTACAATCCTCAAACGTCATGGAAAGCAGCAGAGGAAAAATTGCAGAAAAACAGAAATACCACAACGAGGCCATACATGATCAGCACAGCAAGGAAACCACAGTCCTGGATTAAGCACGCGCCACTCCAATTTGGCAAACATTACAGACAAGAATATGAGAGCGAGAGAGAGAGAGAGAGAGGAACCTGCGGAGAGATGCGAGGATTGAAGGCGAGCAAGAGAGCGAGCGAGCGATCGATCGGAGAGGGCAAACACACAGAGCAGTCGGGAGAGCACAGACCAGACAACAACACTCAGAGCCGAACGAGCAGTCACAGCGAGGGAGAGCGAAGCAAAAGAGGAGGCACGCTTAGCGTGCAGGGTTTCATTTTTTTTTAAAAGCGGCAGAATTGGAATTTTGATAGCTTTTTGAGGGTGAAAAGGTAATTGGGCAAATTTCATTAATTGATATTTTAGAAAATGTTAAAAGCTCAAAGTAGCCCGGGACCCGAACACTAGCAAAATTTTATTGATTTTCCTTGGGGGTTAGGAAGTCGAAAGCCCTTACAAATGCCGAATCAAACCTTACAAATGCCGAATCAAACGGACCCTAATTTTCTTTTCTTTTTTTTAACGAAAGAGCAGTTTTGAGTTCATTTGAGTACTCTAACTTATAATTTTCAACACTAGGAAAATTAGTGACACCCATCACAAAATCTAATTATTATTTCTCCTTCTAATTATCGCTCCAAATTTTGAAAAAACAAAACAGAAAGAGCATATACTAAATTCCAAGAAATTATGAAATAATATCACATACTATTTTTTTGCTTTTTTGGTTCTGAAATATCACATACGATTCAATATATCAATGTTGGCAAATTTTGAATGATCGAAATTCTTCTCGCTCACTAAAAGTTGAATTCTGAGTTCTGAGAACCGCAAGGTTTATACAAAAGTGAAAATTGCATGCATTATTCACTCCAAACACAGTAGCACTCGATATGGTACGTACATATACCCATCACTGTGTTCTCTTCTCTTGATAGGGGACATATATCTTTGCCTAGGGAATGCCATCACCGACTTTTGAGCTGCATGGGGTCTATCCCTCGTTTCAAGTTTGCAATAGAAAGGCGCAACTTACTCATTAAAAGAAGATGAATACCGTAGATGTTGAGCGATTCATAAAGTTACGCACTGTAAAGTGGTCAACGTTTTGTGTGGTTACTCAAGAAACTCTTTTTAGTTGTTAGGCTCACATGGAATGGCCCAGATTGTTACCTTCTCGGACCGCAGAGGGAACATGAATGGACTGCAACGCATCACATGTTCTTACGGAACGGATCGGGTTGCTACAAGAGATTGAGAGAACTAGGATTTCGGAATTTGCATTGACACGTACTTAAGAGTTTGATGGATATTTTAGTCCACAAGATATTTTTGTTGCATGATATAATGCACTTATCGGCTCTAATAGAAGAGGATCCAAAATCCGGTTCTTTCATGTGACAAGGCTTGTTACAATTAAACCCGTCAAACAGGTGAGTCGAATTGGGTTTATGTCGGGTCGAAAATGGTCCAACCCAAATTTGATCTATTTCCATGCAATACAAATTCGTGACCCATATTCAATCTCATCCATATTGCTAAAATACATTCATATTTAACCAAATCTAGGAAAATTCATATCCAAACCATGGTGAGAGCGCAAAGTGAGCGACCGCGATATCGACTGAAAGAGAGAGAGAGAATTATAGATGTGTGTTGGTCTAAATAAGTTGTAAACCCATTTAGCACGTATATTATTTTGGGCATGACATTTTCAAACACATTTAGTAGATATAACTGACCCATATAATAACTGAACCCATCAAATATGGAATAAGAAATGAGTTCATGACCCATTTTGACATGTCTAATTCCAATTAGCAGCACTAAACAGTAGTGAACAGCCGAAGGTGAAGATTGAGAGAGCAAGGCTATGATGCATACAGAATGTGAACAAAGACATGAACTATGCATATTCCTTCTGTTCACCTCACAAGCCCCAAGTTGGTAATCCCCCATGAAGTGTTAGGCCAAGACCTCTCCCTGGCCTTCATGAGCAAGACCCTCGCCCATGCCACCCACCCTTCCCAGGACGTCCTCTTGTCCCACGGACTCCCCCACTCCATCAGCAGCCTCAGCCCGGCCTCGGCCTCCTTCTCCGCCTCCTCGTACCGCCCTTTCCCCAGGCACAGCTGCCCCAGCACCACCCTCGGCTCCCCGACGAACGGGTTCTTCTCGATGCTTTCCCTCAGCCTCCGTTCCGCCGCGTCGTAATGCTCGGCTCCTCCTCCCAGCTCGCTCACCTCGCACACCGCTTCCCAGTACTTGTCCCTCGCCTCGATCTGGTCGCTCGCGCCGAGCACCCGCGTGCAGGACTCGAACACCGGCGGCACCACGAGCTCTATGTCCTCGTCCCGCTCTTCCGACGGCGGCTCGGGGCCGGCGTTGCGTTTGCTCTTCTTCTTCTCGAGCATGAAGATCTCCTCCTCTCTCACTACCAGCATGTAGACCGCGCCCATCCTGGATATCGAGTTCATCCAGAGCCCGGGCTTCACGGTCCCGGGCCACAATGCCCAGAAATTGTTCCCAGTGAATTCCAACCGTCCGTCGCTGTTCTCGAACAGCATGTCCTGAGAAGTGAACCGTGTCAATTTCTCACCACCACAAGACTCGAACGAGGTGAGAATTCACAGAGAGAAACTCAAATATAAACGATTGACTCTTTTGTTTATAGTTGTAATATTTCTAACATACCAGACCAAATTAACAGCAATAGTAATGAATAACAGATCCGAGTACCATGAGGCAACATCCGTTACCTGAAATCCGAAGAGCTGGTCGCTGAAATCGGCCATGGTCATCATCAAGAAAATCGCTATCACCCTCCTCGAAACGAGCACGTCCTCTCCGGTCTTTATGTGCTTCACCCTTATCCCCTCGGCGGGCAACAGCGACTGGACCTTCTTCCGCCACGCCTCGTCGCCTTTGAATACCCCCTTCTCCTTGGCATTCCGCAGGGACATCTCCGAGAGCTTCAGGTGCTCGACGAGCTCCGAGTCGTCGTAGCGGAAGAGCAGGTCGTCGTGGATAAGCGCCTGCCTCGGGACGATACAGAAGAGGTGGATGAGGCGCTCGGCGGCATCTCCGACGTGGCCGCGGACGACCTCGCGGCCGGTGTCGGGATCGAAGATGGCCAGGTTGACGTAGGAGTTGGAGTAGGCGGAGTGGAAGAGGCCGCAGAGGCAGACGGCGTCGGGGGCCCGCCAGAGACGGAGGATGCGGTAGATGTCGACCAGGTGCTCGAGGAAGCTGCCGTGCTTGTGCCAGCACTCCCCGGCGCCGACCGAGCGGAGCGTGGCCACAAGGGAGGGGAGGCGCGGGTCGACGACCTCGAGCTCCCCGCGCAGGAAGGGCCGCGCGGCGTCGAGGAGGGCTTGGAGGCCGGCGGCGGCGGCGGCGGCCGGAGGAGGGAGAGATTGCGGTGGCGGTGTAGAGGGCATTGTCGGGATTTGGTAGAGAGATGATGATGGAGTTTAAGATTACTTTGGCCGTAGAAGAAGAGAGAGTGTGCTGGAGGAGATAAGGTTCTCTCGTGACCTGGAGTTTGTTGAGATTTGGATCGGAATGATTAGAGAAAATTTACTTAATAAGTCTTCAAGGCTAGTTTTGGTAATCGGAATAAAATTTATCCTTATCCCTCAGAAAAAAAACTATAATTGAATCCTTATCAGAGATGAGAAGTTTGTAAAATAATATTCAAAGGGTTATGATAGCGAGTAACGTGTGTACATATTTTTTACTTTATTTTTGTAACTGCTTTCAGTTCACTGATAATTTGATCAAATGTCATATGGTTATTACTGATATGAATGTTGATAGAGGGGATATATTTGTGTTGACATATAGTTGATATTCCAATTGCGTAAAATACCACATTGAATTTATACCGTGGTTGATAGAACGGGAATTATTCTGCAAGCACTGTTAATCTCAAGATACAGGAAAAATAAATTAGTCAATCTAAATTAGAGTGATTTATCAATTATTGCGAGATTAAATTATCAAATGGTTTTGCATGACTAACCTTTATTTATCCCTAGGGCCGTCCAAAATGCATATGTGTACGATGTGCCAACATCTCAAAAGAGGGATGACATGATTGCCTCCCTACTTTAAAATTAGCCAGTTCCATTTGCACTTTGGCGTGCCTAGGATATTTCTTTGGGGGACGATTCCAACGGGTGTGACAAATGCCGTATAGGCATTTTGGAACAAGACACGTATGGTTAGGCAGGATCACATGCATCATACCAAATGCCATCAACTTCGTACTCGTGTATGTTTGTCGTATTTTAAACCAATTATTGCATTAAACCTATCATATAGATGCTAATTTAGTCTTAAACTTTACAATTTCGCCGATTTAGTTCTAAATATTTGCGCGATATTCCAATATAATCCTTCAGGTTCATTTACACTAGAAACCGTTGATGCAACGGTGTGTCACGTAGAACGATCAAAGATGACTAAACCGTCACGTCAATGATTTCGGGTGAAAATTGACCGCAATACGTATATCAAAATTCCACATAAAAATTTAAAATTAAATTGATAATATTGTTACGTGCTGGTGAGATATTCTTCGGAAGTGACACATGATGTAATAATAGCGACACGGACTAATGCTGAAATTGTTGGAGCCCCACGTGAGATTTGCACTTTGGAGTCGCTCTAAGATGGGGAATGCACTCGAATGGATGAGCCCACAGCACTGTCCATGAATTGGAAGCTCGGTTTGTGGCCACGAACACGAGTGGGGAAAAGTAATGTAAGTGGGAGAGAGTTATTGGGAAGAGTGCCAAAGGACGGGGTGGGATTGCGGACGAATCCCGAGCTTTGATATGCACGAATTCGACACGGCTCGTCTACATCATCACGGCTTGACCATCATTTGCGTTTTCGGCGTGCGAATTGAGAGATAGCAGCCATCCACTCCAATTCAACATGCGTTTTTGTGGACCATCTCTTAAGATCCTTTTCCGATTGGGGTGGGCATGTAAACGTTCAAGAAACAGTGCCTCGGCTAGCGCTGTCGCAAACCTTTCGCCCGAGGTTGGCGGAGATCGTGGACCTTGAAAAACTCACCCACTACCGTCGTTTTACCCTGACAACCACGGATCGAGGGTAATTGGGGGATTTCAGTGAGGGTATGGTCATGCGAGTTCTATATATGTAATCTAGGGATTGGATCAAGTATGGCCGAGCCTGAGATCCGAGGACCGCGCTTCTCGCCTCAATCACTATATGGACCTCATCGATGGCGCGGGGTATAGGGGAGAGAAATCAGAGACGATGGCATGCGATGAGCATAGAGAGAGAAGTTATATTTTGATTGGATGTTGGATGGGCACGTGTGGCGAAAATCCAACGGTTAATACAATGGATACGGTGGGCGAGTCTAGGGATTTTTAACACTACCTCATTTCCCGGCTCTAGTACGTGTTAGAAAATCCAATTTTAAAACTAATAAATAAAAGGAGTCAGTCAAATAAAAGGAGTCAGTCAAATCCCATACACAAATGATATGGGAACCTACAATACTAGAACTAGGAACCTCTTTACTTAGAGGCGAACTAACGTTGATATCTTTAATTTCATATAACGTATATATAACATATCAGTACTTGAAGATTTAAAATCACATTAATCCAAAGGAACTAGCTTGCATTCAGCGCAAAAGGTTATATTGTCCTTCGTTCCTCCAATTAAGTCTCTGATTGATGGGTTATAATTATATAAGTCACCTATATAAAAACTTAAACTAAAAACAAATTTGCATAATATTCTTGTTTATAACTCGTCAATCAAAGGAACGATTGAAATAATCCATTCAATTAGGGATGGAAAAGAACCTGCTCTTGATGAATTGCCCACTCCTTTTTTTCCTTTCTTTAGGTGAGTCTTTGAAATGTACAGAAGGGTCCAAAATGGCCAAAGACGACAACATTATCGCACCCCTCCCTTGAAAAAATGAACGATACGACAATAAAATTCGGAAGAGGCGTGATGAAGCTTGGTCTTGCGCATTTAGTTGTCTGCAAGTACGAGAAGGGTAACATAGGTTTGTCCGACCCATTGAATTATTTCACCGTAAACAACAAAACGGGACGGTGCAGATTCCTCCAGCGCGAACGATAGGCATCCTTGCTCCACAGAATATGCACTTAAAGCAAGGTGACAAAAATTGCTCATCCAGAACCTAGGTTTACTTGATACCTACTAGGACAGACGCAGCTCAGACACTGATAACTTTGAAGCAAATATTCATGGGAAGCAACGACAGTTTGCATGAACAACATCTTTATATTAGCTCTAGCTTATCAGCCTGGTTAATCCTACCCATCATAACAAAGACGCCGAAGAGCAAAAAGAAGTAGGGAGAGACATCGATCCATGGCTGTTTCCTGGAGGATCATATGTCTGGCCGTTTGGTTCTTTTGTATTCGCACCGATGTGAAAGGCGATCCGGATCTTTGGTTGGTGTACAAGATATGTAATGGAATTAGGTACCAATGGGGAGACACCTACGGCACACGGGTGGAGAGCGTTCTTCAAGATTTGGTGGACGAAACGCAATATCACGGCTATAGTTACTACAGCCATGACATGTACTCGGGCCAAGGTTGCTACGGCCATGCGGCTTGCAATGGAGCTCTATCACAGGACGATTGCTTTTCATGCTTATTTGCTGCTAGGGACCGGCTGAAAGAGTTTTGCCCCTTAAACACCGGGGCTCAGTTGCAACTTAGAGATTGTAGAATTAGGTACGAGAATTACCAATTTTCTGAATAAGTGAGGGATCAATTAAAACAATGAGAGTGGATCGGATGGTCGTCTGTTGTATTGTTCAACTTGTGTATTATGAGAGTGTAGGAGCTCATTACCTAAGCGGGAACATGGAAATCCTCGGGAAAAGCTTTCCCAAGTTCACTCGAGTGTCTGAATAAACACAAGCTTTTTGCAACATGATAATAAAGTGGTTTATGTTGAGAAAGGGAAAAGTATCAAAAAAGTCCTAAACCTTTTGTATTGATGTCAATTTAGTTCTAAACCTTTTTTTGGTATCAATTCAGTCTTAAACCTTTTGCATTAGTGCGAATTCAGTCCTAAACCTTTTTTTGGTGCCAATTTAGTCCTAAACATTTTGTATTTGTGTCAATTCAGTTTTAAACCTTTTGTCTTTGTGCCAATTCAGTCCTTCCGGTCAATTTTGGCCGGATTTTGCTGACGTGGACGCCGACTGGCTATCGGTGCTGACGTGGATGCCGACCGGCCACCGGTCTATTAGAGCTATGAGAAATCTGCATTGCAAACCAAACAACATTAAAAATCATAAACAACTCAAAAATCTGGACACCCAAACAACAAAAAAGACGAGAAAAAATAAGGGAGGCGACGGCGGTCAGAGCTTGGGACCCAGCTGCTCTTGGGCGGGCGGAGGCGACGGAGGAGGTCTGGACCGGCAGGCGGGCAGGTTTCTTGGACCGGCGGGCGGAACAGCGAATGACAGGGGAACGAGGAAAACGATGCCGAAGTTACGAGAAATCTACATTGCAAACCAAACAACATTAAAAACCATAAACAACTCAAAAATCTGGAAACCCAGACAACAAAAAAGACGAGAAAAAATAAGGGAGGTGACAGCGGTCAGAGCTCGGGACCCAGCTGCTCTTGGGCGGGCAGAGGTGACGGAGGAGGTCGAGACCAGCGGGCGGGCAGGTTTCTCGGACCGGCAGGCAGAACAGCGAGTGACAGAGGAACGAGGAAGATGACGCCGAAGTTATGAGTAATCTGCATTGCAAACCAAACAACATTAAAAACATAAACAACTCAAAAATCTAGAAACCCAGACAACAAAAAAGACGAGAAAAAATAAGGGAGGCGACGATGGTCAGAGCTCGGGACCCAACTGCTCTTGGGCGGGCGGAGGTGACGGCGGAGGTCGGGACCAGCGGGCGGGCAGACGAAGGCGACAGCGGAGGTCGGGACCGGCGGGTTGCTCTCAGGCGGGAGCGATTTTTGAAAAAACAGAGAGAGAATGTGGGGCTTTGTGAAAAGATAGGATGAGCGCCGAGAAGGATAGAGAAGGAGAGAAAAGGAGGAGGCCGCCATTAATGAAGGGAGAGAGGGGAGGAGGAGGTGTGCAGGGTTAAGGGGGAAAAATATTAATTTTTTGTGGAAAAAACGCATCCTAGCCCGCCGGCCCCACCCCCGCCACGTGGACCATGTGGCACCTCGTGAGTGGTCAAGGACCAAGCTGATTTGGCGGTCTGGTACCACCCAATATTTTCTCTGCATGCTGAGCACGCCCACTCTCTTATTCACTTATTTTTACTTAGGGTTAATACCACCAAAAACCCTAAACTGGTACGTGTGTGATAATTTTACCCCGAACTTTTTTTTTACCACCAAAAACCCCAAACTGGTACACCTGTGACAATTTTACCCCAAACTTTTTTTTTACTACCAAAAACTCCAAACTAGTACACCTGTGACAATTTTACTCCAAACTGGTAAACCCGTGACAAATTTAACCTAACTATTTTTTTGATCACGAAAAATCTCAAACTGGTACACCTGTGACAATTTTATCCTGAACTAATAATTTTTTAATATTATTTTTTATTTTTTCGAATTTTTTATTTTTTATTTTATTTTATTTTTCTTCATCTTCGACCTCTGGCCGGTCGGCGGACCGGCGACCGCCAGAGGCGGAAGCCGGCGAGGTCGGCCCCGCCGGCCGATGGCGAGGCTCGACCTCGGCGGCGTCGGGCGAGGGCTGTCCTCGCACGCCTAGGCGAGGTTGGCCCTTGCCGGCGTCAGGCGAGGGTCGCCCTCGCCTGGGCAGGCGAGGCGAGGCTCGACCTCGCCGGCGTCGGGCGAGGGCTGTCCTCGCACGCCTAGGCGAGGTTGGCCCTTGCCGGCGTCAGGCGAGGGTCTCCCTCACCTGGGCAGGCGAGGACAGCTCTCGCTCGACGCCGGTGAGGGCCGCCCTCGCCAGATCTGGCGAAGGTCGCCCTCGCCCGACTTAGGCGAGGGCTGCCCTCGCCGGATTTGGCGAGGGCGGCCCTCGCCCGACTCAAAGCGAGGGTCGCCTCGCCGCGCCGAGCGAGGGCCGCCCTCGCTGGCCGAGCGAGGGTCAGCCCTCGCCCGCCTGTGCAAGGGCCGGCCTCGCCGACGCCGGCGAGGGTAGCCCTCGCCTGACGCAGGCGAGGGTTGTCCTTGCCAAATGCGGCAAGGGCAGCCCTCGCCCAACTCAGGCGAGGGTCGCCCTCGCCCGACGACGGCGAGGGAGGCCCTCGCCAACAGCTAGCGGGGCCGACCTCGCCGACTTCCGCCTCTGGCCAGTCGCCGGTCCGGCGACCGGCCAGAGGTTGAAGATGAAAGAAAAAAAAAGAAAAGAAAAAACAAAAAAATTAATAAAAATTCGAAAAAATAATATTAAAATTTTAGTTCAGGGTAAAATTGTCACATGTGTACCAGTTTGGGATTTTTTGTGGTATGTTCAGGGTAAAATTGTCACAAGTGTACCAGTTTGGGGTTTTTTGGGGTATGTTCGGGGTAAAATTGTCACATGTGTACCAGTTTGGGGTTTTTGGTGGTAAAAAAAAAAGTTCGGGGTAAAATTATCACACATGTACCAGTTTGGGGTTTTTGGTGGTATTAACCCTTTTACTTATTAATTTCCAAGACTTTGCAATCATTTATGTCTCAAGAACATGTAAAATGCCTTGAAAACCAAAAAAACTTTCTTCATTTAGAAATTTTACAAGTGCTGAATAAGTAGAATATATCAGAACTCAGTACAAAAGTTAAGACTGCAGACCATGCCTGAAGAAAGAAATAGGATGACTGGGATATTAGAAGCCTATCGTCCTTACTAGCCATGTAAATCTTCAGATAAAGGCTCCAGACTCTAGCTTCCTGACTCTTTATTTGAGACAGAAAGAAGAGAATTTGCCTCTTGACCGGACAATTCTGCTCAGGAACTTCGTTGAGCACTAAGTCTCTAACTTCCACATGTTAGCACTTCTTAAAATCGCACATGCCTATAACCATATTCTCAAGTCTCGAGCCAGCTTTCCATACATCTCATCCAAAGTGGCTTCTTCTCTCCGTTTGAATCATCCCAAGATCATTCCCTGAGGCATAATTTCATCTCGAACCTACATATTCCCAGACCTAACCACATTTTCAATACCAGAGAAACACAGAAATGAACACCAGGCAGGCAAAAAAATGCTCACTTTACAAATCATTAAGTACATCAAACCAAGTTTCCACTACACGCTGAATCGTAACTCATCACTCTCCATTACAAGCGAGCGACCAAATTCCATACCTTACAACACCATAACCCATTTTCAGTCCGACTTCGTCAATCTACTGACTCGAACCTTTTACACGAACGGCACTGCAGTCTTAGCGTGACGTCTACAAGGACAATCGACAGAGCAAAAGGCCAACTCACCGGCCATCACCGAATCGGTGTAGGCATTCTCCTGGCGGAGGTGGGAGAGGATATCGGGATTGGAGCGGGAGTCGTCGCAGAGCCAGTAGTAGTTGTCGATCCTCACGTCGCCGAACATCTCCATCCGGTGCTCCACCTTCTTCGCCGCCGGCGGAGCGACCGGAGCCGAGCATTCGCCACCGGCGCTCATCCTCGCCGTTGAGTCCGACGGCATGGCTTGAGAGCAGCAAGGGAGAGGGAGCGTGAGCGGCGCCGGCGATCTTGTCCTATTTAAAAAGAAGAAAACCTCCGGCAGGTGGAGAATGGCACTCGCGCCTGTGCCCAACGGATTTCTTGCCATGATATTTGACGTTTTTTTTTTCCTATTATTTTATAATCTTATCCAATATTGTTTTGGAATTTATTGAATTTTAACATTTTCTATTTAAAATATATACTTTATTGGCAAATATGTTTTGAGCTATTAATGAAAACCTTCCCTAATTACATCTACTACACCTAGTTCTCCGCGCCTTTCATGTAGGGGTGTGCAAAAGAACCGGGACCCGCCCGGACCGCCCGGAACCGCCCGGAACCGGACCGGAACCGGTGGTTCCCAAGGGAACCGGTCCGGTTCCCGGTTCCAATTTTTTGGAACCGGTACTGTTTGGGCCGGTTCCCGGTTCCCGGTGTGGAACCGCCCACCCGCCCACCCGGACCGGACCGGTAATATAATAATAATATATTTTATTTTTAAATTTTTAATTAAAAAATCTGACCAAAAAAAATTAAAAAAGAAGAAGAAAATTTGTTATCATGTCTGAAGCTCTTGTGTAGTTGGGATACCTTGGTCATTTTTCTCAATAATTAATGGGTACCCACTTGATTTATGGATGACGTGGTTAATATAATCGATCATAGTGTAGGAATTGTATGAAAAATTATGTTCTTTTCCTTTTGTTCTGTTGATCCGATGTTGGTCCACAGATTTTTTTTTTTTATTTGTCTAGAAAAACTTGTTGAGACCGGTTCCATGGACCCGCCCGAGAACCGGACCGCCGGTCCGGTCCGGTTCTCGGGCGGGTCCATGGAACCGACGGGCGGTTCTCGGTTCCAATTTTTGGAACCGGTCCTGTAGCGGGCGGTCCACGGTTTCGGGGTGGGAACCGCCCACCCGGACCATGCACACCCCTACTTTCATGTCCATGTCAGGTCGTGTATCTTTGGGAATCTGAACCGAGCTGGCCCGTCGACACACCTAGCTACAGCCTCACAGCTTGCAAAGACGACATCTTGGTGAATGCTTAGCGTACGAATAATAATCATCATGTTTTTTTTTAATTTTTCCATTATCAAGAATATGCTTGGAATGGTATCTGTTTGGCAACGCAATTTTATTTTTTTTATTTCGAAGACAAATTTTTAGGCTAGAAATAAGGTTTTTTTAACAAAAATGAGAAGTTATTTTTTTTCTACTTTTCTATTTCTGGAATTAAAATAGAAATAACAACTCCTGTTTTATTGCTTGCCCTCGCCCTTGCTGCCTGCCCGCCAGCCACCATCCACTGCCGTCCAATGGCCAGCCCCTGCCACTTGCCCACCCGCTGTCCATCATCTAGAACATAAATTTAATAATAGCTTATCAAACGAATTTATATTTCGAGAACAGAAATTTTGTATTATTATCAAACGCTACTTTTTGCTCAGAAACTAGTTTAGGGAATAGAAATATCTGGCTAAAAATTGGACCGGAAAAGAGAATGATTTTTTTTTGCGCCTTAGCAATCTCCATGGTCGAAACAACGTCTAAGTGCAGGATAATACGGATCACAGGTGCAAGTCAAGGAATACGAGGATCATCAATTCTCGGAATCAGGAGAGAGAGGTCGACCGCTGCATGATTAGGAGAACAATTATTTCTCGCTCAAAAGATAGTACTATCATCATCATCAATAATAAATATCCTGATGATTAGCAAATGAAAGCAAGATCAATTTCGGAATAATCAAAGCCATTTCACTATAAGAATTTGATCGATACCTAAGGGTGAGCACTGGAATCGGACTAAATCGGCCAGTTCTGAACAGTTCCCGATTCTTAAAATTTGGATCTAGTGATTCTTGGTCTAGATCCAAGTGGGGATCAAACAAACCACCCAGACCAGATACTTTTTTTTTATTAGCAAGTTAATAATACTTGGTCATATTTTTTTATACATTTAGCGTCTTTCCACCGAGATTTTCATCAATTAAAGATTCAAAATACTAAAGGATGGTAGTTTAGACCATGTAACAACACTTGCAATCTTGCAAGGAATAAAAAAAAAAAAAAGATATCACTGCCAGTTCATGGACCCACCCGGGAACCAAATCGAACCTATCAGTCCGATCTAGCCAATTCTCAGTTTTAGGTGGGAACCAACCCACTTTGGAATCAATCACCTTGTTGGGACTCAATTGGTTTTTCCATTTTTCTTTTTAACGGCAATCCGACGGCCACTATTTCTTATATGCTTAACGATCCTAATCATGTGCCATTAATTTAAACTTACCAAATATAAAGATTACATCATTTGGACCAAATATGAATCTTACTCATTAATAGTTTGCATAGCGCAATGCAGGATTATATCTTTAAGTAGAGCATATATTAAATGTTTGATGCTTTGTATGATTTGAAATAAATTACTATTTAGGCGAAAATTGGTTGGAAGAGCTACATCAGAATTCCACATAAAAGTTTATGACTTAATTGATATAATTAAAAGTTTAAGACCGAATTGGCATCTATACGATAAGTTTAAAATCGATTGGACAATTTCCCCAACCTCTTCCTCATCTCTTTAACTAACATATGGGCATTTTAAAAATTTGTTGGAAGAAAAATGAAGTTTCTTTTCCGTACCCCCTCCCCACCTTATATTATAGTTTGTCGGAATTACCCAAAAGGATTTCTAACATAAAAAGATAATTCTCCCAAAAAAATTAAAATGAATTCAAAACTTCACCTCGAATGTGCGAATCACGAACACTCCTGCCATTGAAACTTGAAAATAATTATCGGGTGATAATCGATTGAAGGCCCTCTTCGTTTTGCGGAAAACAAATTTCAGGAAAATGTTTGAAATTCCTACATTGTAACTAAAGAGAACATATATGAACTTATCCTACGGAGTAAACTATTCATTTTAAAACCCGAAGACAGTCGAACTCTTGCTGTACAAAATCAGCAATCTAAGGGATCTTAGTTTTAAGGGATGACTACTATGAAAGACATACATTGGAAACAATAATGCACTCAAACTAGCTACATACAGATCAAACTTCTGTATGTAGCTACTTCCATTTGGTTTCTATCTGGCAAACGCAGAAAAACATGGCTGTTCTATGGAGAATCATAGCGATCCGAATTTGGTTCTTGAGTTCTCGCGTTAGTAATGTCGGAGGAGATGCCGATACAGCCTTAGCAAACAAGATGTGCAACGGAGTAAAGTTCCGATTAGGAGGGACGTACACTTTGGAACGAGACAAGGTCCTTGACGACTTGATGCTGGCAAACTCCAAATCATGGCTACAACTATTATAGCCAGTCTGTCGACTCAGGCCAGGGTTGCTAGGGTTACTACGGCCATGCAGCCTGCAAGGAGTCATCTCGCATGCCGATCACTTTAAAGCTCAACTTGAAATAATGTCTAAGTGCTCCGACGATATTGAAGCTCAGGTGCAGCTCAAGGATTACAGGACTAAGCACAAGGATTATCAATTTAAGGAACAAAGGGAAGGTCAAATGCAATAGAAGGAGCAAGATCTGGATAATATACAAGATTGTGATTATAGGAAACTATGTCATATCATATGTTATAAAGGAATTGGATAACTATGACAAAGGGTGAATGGTGTTTGGTGAAGTGAATGCAGTTACTAATCTTTGGCCAAAGGGAATGCTAGTCATCATTTTTCCAACTCAAATTTGTAGGTGATCTTATAAAATGAGCCATCTTAAAAAATATATTCCTAAAAATGATTGATTGTATCGCTTGAAATAAATAGTTAAAAATATTTTCATTATCGATAACAAATTATATCTGAATATTTTCGTGAATGATAAAAATATTTTTCATTCATTCAGTTTTGCAAGTATTACAAGCAATCATTTTTAGGAAAATTAATTTTCAAATTATTCATTTTTCACAAAACAAACGGATAAGAGCATTCTCTTGCTTATCCGTTCATTCAATCGAGCTAATTCCCAACCCCCCCCCCCAAAAAAAAAACGAAAAGAAGAAGAGAAGGATGTCATGTTAGATTCCGAAAACCGATGAACGGTTGAAAACCATCAACGAAACAGGATCATACATGTATAATTCATTGAGAAAGCATAAAAACGAAAGCGTACCTGAATCCATAGCGTAGACTGTTGTTCGGTGTCGTGCGGGTAGCCTTCCAGAACAATACGTTTTCTCTGAGAGTTCCCTTTGAATTCTCTTTGTGTTTCTCTCTTTCGATGGGATGAAGAGGAATCAGTAACTTACGTACATTCTGGGGACCATAACCGCTCTTATAAGGTAACCCTAATGTTACCCTTTAGAAATTACAATTTTGCCCATCATAAAATTGTAATTTCCCCTTTTAGTCTCTACACATTAAAGGGCCACACCCTATTTGATACATTAAAGCCCTAAATTACCTTAACTTAATTTATCACTTTTAAAGGGCTTAACTTTATATGACAGTATGCATTGCATTATTATTTCACATATAACCCAATGTTGGATTAAGGATCCAACATGTCATTCACTTGATGATCTATGAGCAACATACCATTTAACTAATTCGAGAATCTATCAAAGATAATAATTAAAACAAAAGGAAGAGTGTCTTCAAAAATCTGATTTCTTGTGTTCGCAAGAGATTCAAGTAGCAGAGCTAATTGCACACATCGAAGCGAATGGAACTGGTAGAAGTTGATTCCTTTAATTGCCCTCTCCTCCAATGAAAGAAATCACGATGAAAAGGTTTCAAGACAGAAATCTTGACATGGACCTCCGTGACTAGCTTTGGATGACGCACCTTCAACCTGAAGCGCTCTTTCCGGTCAATGTTGCCGGAGACCATCATGAGATCTACGCAGACCCAGGAGTAGGAATCATATTCAGAGCCTTCAGCAGAAATGCGTATATCAAAGCATCTTCTCGGAGACTCTCGAATCTGCGCGACATAATGCATACGTGAAGCAAACATACTAGCAGATCATCTACTCACCCACTGAAGTTTTAGGAAAGATACT